GGGGGCAGCTGATGGGGCTGGAGGGACGTGGCTCCAGGGAGGAGGGAGAACCATCAGCAAAGCAACAGCCCACCCATGTACAATCCCCAAATCTCTCAAACTGGGGGGAATTTAAGCAAGCTGAGCCCTGCCTGGGTCAATACTGCTGCTGCACTGGAGCCTCGGGGACCCAACATGTCCCCACCGGCTTCGGGAGGCGATGGCCCCTTGCGGACGTGACCGGTGACATGGTGCCCGGGAGCCGGCGGCGTTTCCAGGTGGGGAGCCTGCTTTGGGAAAGGAATGAGGAGCACGCAGCCAAGCTGTCCTCATGAGCCTGCATGCACGGACATGTCCGTCTGTCCTGCTCACCCTCTCTTCTTTCCCTCCTCCCCCGGTAAGTCTTCAACCCAGTTCATCCAACTGTGGCAGAGGGACACGGGGCGCAAAAACACATTGATCGTGGTCACTTGCAGAGCCAGAGCAGAGGACGAGGCTTTCTCTGTACACAGGAAAGGTGAGCACAACCCTTATCAGACACCAGAGAACCCACCCAGCACCCCCAAACCCATCAGAAAGCCAAGCTGCAACGCTCCTGCTCCCCTCGAGCTGCACAGCACCGTCCCACAGCCACCGGCACCCCAAAGCCCTTCACCCCAAAGAGGCTCCAACACCAGACCCCTGGGATGTGAACGCAGCCCAGAGGCCACAGGCGATGGGCTCTCATCCTCCCGGTGCCGACCCTCCATTCCTGGGGCAGGGGAGGGGAGGTGGGAGGAGAGGGGCTCTGGACACACAGCGGGGGCAAAGCTTAATACACACCCGTATTTTTGGCCAAATGTCTTTTTTTTTGGTTGTTTTAACCAGGAAACATTCTCAGTCTCTTATTTAAAAACCACCCAAGCCCCAAACCAAGCCGTGGTGAGGCACTTCTCCGCCTGGCCGCAGGAAAACAACAGTTAAAGTATCAACAATCCCAGTCCCAGTTTGTAAAAAAATGCATAATAATATCCTGAATTTTAAGAGAAATGGGTGTTTGCAGTCTCCATGGCTTACACCTTTTTTCGTGTGATCTTTTTTTAAAAAACATTGTCTCCCAAAGCTTCCAGCCCACCTGGCTGTGGCAGAGCCGGTGCCCCATCCTGCATCCCTGCCGTGCTGGGGCATCACTCCACCATCCCACTGCTCCAGCCATCCGTGGGCATCCCCAACCTGCCGGTCCTTGCCGAACCACCCCCGGAGAGAAATCCAGAGTCAAATCAAGAGGGATCCAGGCAGCAGCAAGCGAGGTGGGGTTCAGCATCCCCCTGTTTCATCCCAGCACGCTCTGCTCAGAAGAGGACCTGCCCACTGTTTGCATCCCAGCATCCCATCCAGGGCAGCTGAGTGGCCCATTTGCCGGTGGCCACCACTTGCAGCTTGGCCCGGTCAAATTGCCAGTACTGGTCATCCCGAAAGAAGTAGACGAAGGTGTCGCGGTGGGTGAGGGCTCCCGCCGTGCCGGGGGGCACGCTGTCCCAGTCCCGCAGGCTGCGGGGGTAGTAGGGCTCCACGGCGAGGGTCTCCTCGCTCGCCACAAAGTACTTGGGACCTTTGAAGAGGACCAGGCGCCGGAGCTCCACCTGGGACGAGATGGGGAGAGGGGTGAGCACCCACCCCACCGGGGTCCATCGCAGGACCAGCTCCAGGAGATGTGGCAGGGCTCAGCCACGGGACCAGCCTCGCAGCCCGGGACACACATCGGTGACATCCATCCTGCTGGTGACCCAACTGCCACCACCACAGGGCTCCCCTGGGGCGAGGGGAAACTGAGGCACGGTAGCTCAGGGGCTTGAATGGCTGGAAAGGGA